TTGCAATATTTTCCCCCATATTCTTTTAATTTGTATCAATCTTAATATTCAGTTAACGTTTTGTTATGAAGACAATAGAAAAGTGGGATACGAGTTGTCCACGCTAATTTTATGACAAAACTGTTAATTTAAGAGGAGGTTTATAAACATATAGGTCATGTTTGATTGGGGGTTTAGGAAAGTGAATTAGATTACCAGTTTATGAGACCCACCAAACCCTTGTTTGGATGTAACAAAATGTTATAGGATTAGTAACCCCCCTCTGCAGGAGAATTAACTTGGGTGTATTTTAGGTGGGATTAGGAAAATAGTGAGAGGATTGAGTCTATTTGATATAATTTTTTTTTTTTACCAAATGCACCTATTTGTTTTAGTTTTTTTTTTAATATAGAAATAATTTATTTATTTATTTATTTTATATAAAAATAATTTAACAATATCATTACTAATCAGCTCTCATACTATCATCAAAACAAATACACTTTTACTTAATCCCCTCACTAACAATCCACACATTAACAATCTCTTCACTAACATTCCTCTCACTAATAATCTTATTAAACTTAATCCGCCAAACAAACGTGTCCATATAGGAGAGATGTGTATAGTTTCCTGACTAATCATAAAATTATGAGTTAATTATCTAAAAGTCCTATTTACAAATGTTATAATAGCTCAAGTTCTATTTAAGATTTTTTAAACCAATGAGTTCTATTTAGGCCAAGTTTGGCAACACCAAAATAATCAATCTTTTTATCTTTTTTTCATTACATCATCTCTCTACTTTTCTGTACATCTTTTCGTAAAAAGACAAAAGGTGCACTTATTTAGGTCATCCCAAACAAACTGAAAATATTATCAATTTTTTTTTTTTGTTAATTTTAAAAACTAAGAACATTATTAATTTTGCATAGTAATATCCCAGATAATTGTTTTACTAACCGATGAAAAAAAAACAAAGCATGAGATTAAATGTTTTTACCTTTCTACTTATTAGTTTGATTCAACTATCTAATAAACCGAGAATATTAATAAATTTTTTCAGTTTAAAACTAAGAACATTATCAATTTTTTCATTTTTAATTTATTTTTTCAATTTTGCACATTAATGTTCCATCATCATACTCCTTTATAGGCATAAAATTTTTAATTTTGCACAAAACAATAATTCAGTTTTTTCAAAATTTTCAAAAAAAAAAACATTTATTTTTTTTTTGAACATAATTTTTTTTTTTTAATTTTTTCAATTTGAAAGTTGATATTTTAAAATTTTGAAAATCAAAATAAATGTTAAATCATCATGTTCATTCGAAGGGCAATTTTTTCTATTAAAAATTTAATGAGACTTGAAAGTTCAAAAAATCTTAGTTACGACTTAATGAAGTAATTAAGATTTGTGTGTAAATGCCCCTAAAATTAACACGCATATATATCTTTTCACATATTTATTCATAGGGGAGAAAAATATATACATATCTCTCATAGTAAATAAATTAGCTCTTGAATTAGCATTTTGATCATAACATAAGTATGGACAGCTCTCGTGCTATTTTTTGCGTCTTCTTTTGTAACAAAATATTATCAAAAGAGTTGAAGTATAATTAATCAAAAAATAAGGAGTATTAATTGCAAAATAGCACTAGGAGACCAAACAGAAACATGTCCATGAAATTCAGGAACGATATATATAATATGAATGTCTGTATCACAAGTAAACATCAGCTCAGAATATCAAGGTTGACTATGTATACATACTAACGATCAATGAAATGCAATACGTTTAATATTTTTTAATATTTTGATGAACGTAGAAATTGAGTTTAATTTGATAATTATTTTTTGAAACAATTAATATAATATGGGCATATTTTTAAATAAATAAATAAATAAGTTCTTTATAACTTCATATAATAATTTAGATATGTCATGCCGTGTTTGATGAAACAACCAAACTTGGCGGAAATTCTGCGGAGTAGTGTTTTTTTTATAGGTTTCCAATCAATATGCATAGACACTTACTTCAACCCAAATCAATTAAAGTAGCAATTTGGAAACTTGCTAAAAAGTTAGTTTTTTTACTTTTTATTAAGTTCTTCCAAAAAATATTATAAAAAAGTCACTAAAAAAATTAATTTTTTTGCCAAAAAAGCTAAAAAGTTAGTTTTTTTATCAACTTTTCAAAACAAACCAAAATTTATCAAAATGTTATTAGTTGAAGATGCAACTAGTTTGAGTTTTTTAGATTAAGTTTTTTAAAAATTAAAAGTTTTTTGTTTTCATGTTTTCGTGTTTTTGTGTTTTTCATGTTTTTTTATTTTTAGTGAATATTTTAAAAAATTTAAGTATTTTTTTTACTTGATTAAATACACCTTACTTAGATGTATCTAAAAAATAAAAAATTTGTGAAAAAATATTTAAAAAATTAATAAATACATAAAAATACAAAAAAACATATTGAATTCTCGTATTTTTTCATATTTTTGGTATTTAGTAAATTTTTAAAAGATTTTTTTCATAAAAATTATACTTTTTATGTGTATTTATATTAAGAGTGTTTGAAAATTAAGAAAATTGCTTAAAATATTAAAAAAATTCAATAAAAATAAAAAATACAAAATACAAAAATAAAATTTTGTGAAAAGTATTTTTGAAAAATCAAAAACAAGCAAAGTGTGTGACCGTAGGTACTTGGAGAGAGAAGAGAGTTGCGATAATTATTATGTTATTCTAGCAATATGTGCAAACAAATGCTGGTAAAAATCAATTGGTTTGAGTTTTTTAGATTAATTTTTTGTAAATTGAATTTTTTAGTTTTTCTATTTTTTTGTTTTTAGTGAATATTTTTAAAATTTTAAACATTTTTTTTACTTTTTTAGATGCACTTTATTTAGATGTATCGAAAAAGTAAAAAATTTGTGAACAAATATTTTAAAAAATTAATAAATACATAAAAATATAAAAATATACTGAGTTCTTGTATTTTTTTATTTTTGGTATTTATTGAAATTTTAAAAGATTTTTTTTATATTTTTTTTACTTTTTAGGTGTATTTATGTAAGTGTGTTTAAAAAGTAAAAAAATTATTTCAAATATTAAAAAAATTTAACAAAAAAAACGAAAAATAAGAAACGAAAAATAAGAAAGTTAAATTTTTTAAAAAGTGTTTTAGAAAGTGGAACCAAACAAGGTGAAAAATCTCGCCACACAAGTCCTAGTTATAAGCTCCAAGCTCTAAGTTCCAAACCTTTGACCTTGGGTTTCGATTCGGACGAGGTTCAGGTCTGGTTTGAAAGCTAGGGTTCCACCCATGGCTACCTGCACCTAACTGATTTTTTTATTTTTGGTATTTATTGAAATTTTAAAAGATTTTTTTTATAATTTTTTTACTTTTTAGGTGTATTTATGTAAGTGTGTTTAAAAAGTAAAAAAATTACTTCAAATATTAAAAAAATTTAACAAAAAAAAAACGAAAAATAAGAAAATAAAATTTTTTAAAAAGTGTTTTAGAAAGTGGAACCAAACAAGCTGAAAAATCTCGCCACACAAGTCCTAGTTATAAGCTCCAAGCTCTAAGTTCCAAACCTTTGACCTTGGGTTTCGATTCGGACGAGGTTCAGGTCTGGTTTGAAAGCTAGGGTTCCACCCATGGCTACCTGCACCTAACTGCACTTGGTTTTATTTTAGTCCTTTACCAACAAAAGAAGAAGAGGAAGGGTTTTAATAAATTTTTTCAGTTTACTCATCATTGCGAAGTTACAACTCACTTACTTAGTAGTTTAGGTCTCGTTTGGTAATATCACTTTTTAACTTAAAATTTAAAAAATTACTAAAAAATCAAAAGACGAATAATCTATATAAAAAAGTCAAAAATTCTCTTCTCTCTACTTTTTTTACATTTTTTCGTAAAATTCAAAAAGTCATCCCAAATATACTAATTTTTTTTACATCATATTTTAACTAAAAATTCAAAAAATTATTAAAAATCATGTTCCCAAATGAGGTCTTAAACTCACATGACAATTTTGATCCTTTTACAACACATTAGCAAGATTCAAAATCAATAATTTATAATCATCAAATCATTTTATGTTTAAAAACTTTTCTTAACAATTTTTAATTTAAAACAAAGATATGTTCATAAAGATCTTTTTTTAACCATTGATTATGGAATAGAGAAATTGACTCCCAACAACTACCATTCAAATAAAACTATAGGTATTGAGAACTTGAATTGACTGAATTTAAGATTTCAATTTCAGCGGTGAGCGATGAAAAAGGGAGAAGTAGCTCATTTTCTTACAATAAAAATAAAGGGAGTGAGTAATTATTTTGTAAATTAAACGAATCTAAACTATTTAATTTTAGATGGGAAAAATGTTTAGGATCCCTTTTGAAGATGACTCCGCACCCCCCAAAGTGATTCTGATCATTTGTATATATGTGATTCTGATCATTTATATATATGTGAGATCCACTCATGTATGTGTGGGGTTTCTATTATAAGTGGTTTAGATTTATGGGGGTCTCGTAGTGGTAGGGTCTCAATTATAACTCTTTTAGATTGAGGGTTGCAATTTTTCCAACTTCCTTGTTGAAATTGAACCACAAATTAAGCAAAATCTCTCTCTTAGACAATTTTTTTTTTGGGTAAATTGTCATTTTAAAAAAATTTAATGATATTATCGAAGCCAAAAATAGCATTTGAATATAGAAAGTCTGGTGCCAAAAGGGATAGAAAGTACAAATAGCTTAAGAATTGTCATATAAAAAATTTAACACCTCTGTTCTTCCTTGCGAATAATTATTGTCTTCTTACAACACTATTTTAGTTGTGCACTACCCATCTAATACCAAGAGACTATATATGCTTATTTGATTTAAAAATAAAATAAAATAAAATAAAAAGAATAAACAGTACGCAGATCACAAAACATCATTGATAAGGTGCACAATCACATATGTTCCAGACCTATGTGATAATTTCTGTGCACGGACACCAAACTGTTCAACTAACTCTGGCCTACATTTCATCTATAATTAGAAACTCCCCCTCTTCCCTCTCTCTGTTTCTCTTTCATTTCCCCATAATAACCTCTCTTTAAAACAGAGTATCTTCTCGTAATAGTCCTTTAGTATAATGATTATTTGAAGTTCCAATGTTTGTCAGTTTTTGATGCATAAAAATTATAGACAATTTTCTGGTTTTGAATTTTGATACAATTTAAATGACTAAAATCTTTAGATCTCTGTTATTTTGCTCTGTTTTGATTCCTCTGTTTTTGCTTTCCTCTGCTCAATCATGCAACAACTATGCCTTTGCAAGTAACAAAGTGTTCAGTGCATGCACTGATCTTCCATGTCTGAATGCTTTTCTTCATTGGACTTACAACCCATCTTCTGGAACTGCCCAAATCGCGTATCGACACGCTGGAATTACCTCTTCAAGTTGGGTTGCGTGGGCCATCAATCCAGAATCTCGAGCCATGATTGGGTCACAGGCTCTTGTCGCTTTCCAAAAATCCGACGGATCAATGAGTGTTTACACGTCGCCGCTGGGTAGTTACAAGACCACTTTGCAGATGGGGAATTTGAGTTTTGCTGTCTCAGATTTGTCGGCTATGTATTCGAACAGTGAAATTGTCATTTTTGCTACTTTAACACTGCCAAGCAATATGACTACTGTGAACCAGGTTTGGCAAGACGGTCCAGTTTCCAATGACTCTCCTCAAATGCATGATATCACCGTCTCTGGTCCTCATGTCCGGTCAATGGCCACTCTTAATCTTCTTTCTGGACAATCTAGAACAACAGAAGCAGGTGGAGCGGTGAATTCAAAAATCAAGAGAAGGAATGTAAGTAATTAAATCCTGATTAATCGTAGGAATATATTATGATTTTCGGATCTTTTCAGTTATATTTCTTGATTCCAAATCAAAATAAAACCACTTTTTTGTTTCGTAGTTTTTGATTTTCTGGTCTGTAGGTGCAGCGGGTACAAGGATTAAAATCTAAAAGTTAATGGGTTCTGTTTTTACTCCGTTTTCTCTTTTTTTTATGTTTTGCAAGAACCAAGTAACGATTATTTAGATTACACTAATTAGGCACAATAAATTATTTTTAAAAATATTTTAATTGTTTATTTATTGGTTTACATTACTTTCTATAACTATAAAGCATAATCATTGTAAGATAAATTGATAGAGAGAGAAATAAATTGTGTATAAATATTATTGATTTATGTATTGAATATTGATTATATGTAATAAAGAGAATGAACTCTCTATTTATAGAGAGAAATCTGAGGCATTGGATACCACAAACCCACTACCACCGAAAGCTATACAATTAATAAGTATATACTAAAGCTAAAGTTATTCAACTAACAATGATATACTAATTAACAATTATATACTAACAATCATCAATTACAGTTATTTTTAGTTATTTTGTTTTGTAGTATTTGATTTTCTTGTTTATACATGCCATGGGTTGGGTACAAGGATTCAAATTGTTCTATTTTGTGCTCTGATTTTACTCTGTTTCCTTTGTTTTCTTTCCTTCTTTCTCCTTAACCATTCAAAGAATTTTTTTGTTTCAATTACGAAGATGAAACAATATAATTTCCTATTTTTGTTTCCAATGAATTTTCAGATTCATGGAGTGTTGAATGCAATCAGTTGGGGCATCTTAATGCCTCTTGGTGTTATGATTGCGAGGTACTTGAAGGTATTTGAATCCGCAGACCCTGCATGGTTCTATCTTCATGTTACTTGCCAAACCTCGGCCTACATAGTTGGTGTTGCTGGATGGGCAACCGGTCTCCAACTCGGAAATGATTCCCCTGGCATCCAATACACTGCTCATAGAACAATTGGTATTGTTTTGTTCTGTCTAGCAACCCTTCAGGTAACCATTTTTTTTTTTCCCATATAATTCGTAGGCAGTGTTTTCCATATAATTTGTAAGGATGTTCACAAATCGGATTGGTCTAGCTTTATAGTAAATCATGAACCAAACCAGTTCTTACGGTTCTAAAAAATTTGGAACTGTAGCCAAACCTTGAGCCTATGTAACCGGATAAGAACTGAACATATAAACTGTGATTCAGTTCTATGGTCCTAGAAATTTTATATTTATTAATAGGAGATATGTATATATTTTATAGTAGTAGACAAACAATAATTGAAACTTGTCAATTTCATAGTCAAGAGACGAGTGTTTTTGCTAACTACTTCTACCTTTTTGTTTTTAAATACAGGAGTATTAAATATTATTAAACAAATATATCACGGTTCGGTTTGGTACAAAATAGTCACCGAAGCATTAAAACCGTAAATCAGACCGATTTGAACAGTTCTAGCATTTTCAAAATTGAAGCTAATAAAAATCGGACCAAACCAATAGTCTAGACCAGATTGGATTGATTTATAGGTTCCACCAAATTTTTTGAATACCCCTATGGATGCAAAAATGATGCTGTCAACTCTTTTACACAAAAAAATGTATAGTTTACCTTATTTATCTTTATGTTTTCACACTATTTGTATTAGTTTCAATCGTTTTAATCTTATTAAAGAGGAGGTCGAGGTTTATGGCGTGCTTAGGAAACATTTTCTTGGTTGTAGGTGCTTGCTTTGCTTCTGAGGCCAAAAAAAGATCACAAATACAAATCATACTGGAACATCTATCACCACTCGGTTGGATACACAGTGATCATCCTTAGCATCATCAACATATTCAGGGGATTCAGCATCTTGAGGCCGGAGAAGAATTGGAAAAAAGCTTACATTGGCATCATCGTAGTTTTGGCCGCCATTGCTGCATTCTTGGAAGGTTATGCATGGATCATAGTTGCAAAAAGGAAGAAGTCCACGAGCTCAGAGAAGCTCCCACATCGCTTGAATGGTGCTAGGACACAACAAAACCGCGTAGAATAGAGAAATTCCATGGTTTTCAATTATATTTATACTCTTTATGTTGTATTAACTAGTATGTTGTTGCATTGCCTTATTTATGCATACCATTTATACATTGTGGGTGAGAGTTCCGGGTGAGGATATAGTTGTTGCAGGATTGTTAGTGTAGTTATGTTTCGATAGCCACATGTATTTGTTTCTTATATATTATATCTATTTTTGTATTTCTCTTGCTTTGCATTTATGTTGGTTTATCACTTCTTATATCTCCCCAAAATGTTCTATGATGTAATTAACTGGAAAATAGGTGCCAAAGGTCTATTCTAAGAACTCGAGCATTGGAAAAGATAGTTTCAATGAAAAAAAGTATGTGGCAGTGAAGAATTGTAACGGGTTTAAAGTTCCAAATTTTACTTCCAAGAAAAAAAACGTGTTCGAATATGAAAAAGGACTTTGTGCAATTTTTAAATGAGTTGCACCATTGTTAGTATATTATTATATGTTAGCATTGTATATTATTATACTTTAGTATTGTTATTATTATGTTTAGCTTTAGCTTTAATAACAGGCTAGCTTTATGCTTTCAGCTAGCTTTGTGCTTTCGGTGCCTCGCATCCAATGTACATCACAGGCTATAAGAAGAGAGCTAGGCTCCCTTTGTAAATTAACAAAATTATATACACATCTCATTTATTCACTTGCTCTCTCTCTCTCTCTATCAATTTATCTTACATGCCATCAGAGCACAATAATACAATTCTGGCATTCTTCAATTTTGGTGCTTAGTCCCGTACACAGTGGAACTACACCAAACAGCTCGGAATCTCCTTACGATTCCAACGGCACCAAGCCCGTCACCAGAAACTCTCTCACGCGCTCTCACGCACCGCCTCTTTGCTCGGCACGTCTCTGCTTCCGTTGCCACGCTCACACGCGCCTTCACGCGCCTTCCACTCTGCCCTTTCGTGCGCCGCGCCTGCTACCGTGCACCCGCGTGCGCCATTCGTCTACTGTGAGCCGCACGTACGCCGTTCCGCTATTGTGCACCCGCGTGCGCCATTCTGCTACTATACACCGCACGCCCTCTCTGCTACCGTGCACCGCACGCCCTCTCTGCTAACGTGCGCCGCTGACATCATTTTCCATCCTGTTGACATCATCTCTACACAGCCCACCTTTCCTAGCTATTTTCGGCCTTTCGGACTCACTGGTACACTCTGTTTTACCTAATTTTGCTCCTACAGGTCTATTCCTATCAATTTAGCCCTACTCAACTATTATTATGGATCGTCATGATGCCTCCCATCCCATTTCCGTTATTTTGAATGGTTCCAACTATGTTCTATGGGCCCAAGCCATGTCCTCCTTCCTCAAAGGCAAAAAGCTCTGGCGAATTGTCACCGGGGATGTGACTAAACCGGTGAAAGACAGTGCCACTAATGAAACTACTACTCATACTACTACATATGAAGACCGACTTGAGGAATGGGACAGTAAGAATTACCAAATCATTACCTGGTTTTACTTAAAATTTGATTGTTGTTTCTTATTTCTCAATTATAACAACCAAGTCCTTAGATTTTAATCTTTATTTCAATGTAATTTTTATGTCCCTCTACCGTCTAAAAGTTTAAAAAGTAGAATTTGAATGAAAATTGAAAAATAAAATGATTTTATCGTACAAATTTCTTCCTGTAATGCTCTTAAAATATGCTAACATATTTCTCACAAAAATATTTTTCGTTCAAATTTTTAATAATAAATGATATAAGGTATTTTGGGAACGAATAAAGCTTAAGACCCCCAGTGGGGTACTGGGGGTCACTCCTGATTGGTCAAAAAAAACAGTTTTTTTTTTTTTTTTTTTTTT